AACAAATATTTGGTAGTTTAATCAATAATTAATTTAATCATTAGTTGCATTCTTAGTTGACAAGCTTTGCATACAATTAAATTTTTTGTTCCATATATTTGACATGATTATTGCACAGTAACCTGGACCCAGATGTTCCTCTTGTAGATACAAAAAACAGGGCAAATAGTCATTAGACAGAACATGCAGCACACTGCCAAACCAGCTAGCTATGTTGTGATATTTGGCGGGTGTTTTTGATCTTGCTAACTTCGACTTGTTGTGTCAGTCACTCCAGACAGAGAAAAAGTCACTTCACTGCCTGTATTTTTGTGAGTCTGCATGACTACTCTCTTCTTAAAGTGATCAAATACTGCAAACTTCATCAGAGTGGAGGGAAGGGGAGGGAGCGAGAGATGAGAGGAAAGGCTCATCTGCATCTGTATTTGAAGTGGCAAATGCAAATGGACCAAATGATCTGACAAGAGGAAAATGTGAATTCCTCTCTGCAGCTATTTGCAGATAGCAAAAAAGAAACACTTTTTTTATATTGGACAGGCCCTTTTCATTACTGCAAAATGCCACACACTGATCAGACATTTAATAAACCACCATGGTTCCATCTTGGAATTTTGATGATATTCTTAAACCGTTCAGAGCAGCAATTTGTCTGTTTTGTTTGAGATTTTACTTGTCGTCTCTTGCAAAAGAACCAGTGTCAGTAGCTGGTTAAAAGACTGTGGGCTGTGAGACTTACAGTTTAAAGACACATTCTTCAGCAAAACTGAGAGCAAGAAGAGACAACAAGCTCAGTCAGATCATTGTTTTTCAACTGATTTTCTTTTCCAATCTCCCTTCCAGCAAAGTAAAGGACAGCGGCAGACTGAGGACTGTGATAGACTGGTAGTTTAGCAGAATCGTATTGTGTTCATGTTTTATAGACATTGGAAAATACCAATCTCCAGCCTTTCTCAAGTGTTGATTGTTCTCCTTTCTCCTAAGAGCTCTTCATGTAGATGAGTTCAGTGTCAACTGCAATGGTGGCAGGCAGTATAGCTTTAACAGTCCAGGAAAGAAAAAGACAGGCCAGCACTGCTGCAGTCAAGACTTACTGAGGCTCCCTGCCTTAGTCTGCTTTCCTGCCTGCCTGCCTACTAACTTCTCAAAAACTTCAAGAGAGCAGAAGAAGGGAGGGGGGAGAGGGATGAGTAAAAGCTCATCTCCATCAGTCGAAGCAGCAAATATAAATGGAGCAAATGATCTTACATGAGGAAATGTGAACTCCTTTCTGCTGCTATTTGTAGATGGAATAAAGGAATACCTCTCACACTCTTTTCTAATATTGGACAGGGACAGTTTTCCAATGAACTGCTATCACATCAAGGTGGAAAGATTAACTGCTACGTATCAGAAAATCAATACAAGAGTGTGAGATGCTACAGAACACACAGATCCAAACCCAAATTCTATATAAAAACTTGTCAAAAATGGATTAGCTCCTATCAGTGGTGGAAAAGTTTGTGCTGCTCTGCCCGAAAACTTGACAAAAAGGAATGCTTCATGCAAAACATGCAACACCCTAAAATTTTTAGCAGCAGCCTGACCAATTTACTCTTTTAAGAACACGGCATGCTTCAAGAATGATAGTGCTTTCAGAAACAGGACCACTCATCCAGAGGCAAGCTAAAAACAAAGCTAGCAATACCAACAAATGCTAGTTCTTAAATTGTCCTGGTCAAAGGCAATAACTAAAGCAATATATTTACAAGGACATGCTACCATTTAGTTTTGTTCAAAGTGCTGGGTTTAGATGGAGGACAGTGACCTTCAAATGGAGGCAAACAATACCCAGTTTTCAAAATTGAAGGAATGTATTCTTCATGGGTACTGTCCAAACATCACCGCTTATTGTTAAAGGGCAACTCCACCAAGTTTATACATCCACATGTGTTTACAGTTCTTGGGCAGTATTACTGCTGTATGAAAGTGTAAAGCCTTTTGTGGCCCCAAAGGGTGCGAAATCTGATAAATTAGCCCAAGTAATATCTTTTCAGTCACTGTCAGTTGGGCTGGAGGCCCTTCAAAGTGAAAAAAAAATCAGAACAAAAAGTGATCTTACCAGACCTCTGTAACCTAACTGTCAGTGGTCAAGTTGCATTGTGGGTGCCAGGCTTTGACAGCGAAGATGAATGCTTAGAATAAAAAATACAATATCTCTCGTTCTATTGCATAGATTTTGATCCTTTTTTTTAAACTGTCCATCGTTAAGTGTGACAGTGTAATGAGTGCAAGGGTAAATTGGTGGGACACTATTTTATCGATGGTGTGACAGTTGCTGAAATAAAAAGTGAGTAAATGTTCTTAAATGTTTTTTTTTACTCCCAAAGCAATATATTTACAAGGACATGCACCCATTTAGTGTTGTTCACCCCTTCCAAGCACAAAGGAGACACTACAGTGGCCGCAAAAAGTGCAAACAGCACAAACGCCCTTATCTAGATTCAGTGATTGGTTTGTCCATTACTGTAGGGCTACTGTAGAAACATGGTGGTTTAACATGGATTCCATGGAAGGCAACTAATGAAAACATAGTTATGAATATTGTATTCTATTTCTGCCATCAGATCCTCCTACTTGTAAAACACTGGACCTTTAAGTTATTGCATGTCTAAATAAAAACACTTTTCAAATATACTGATAAGTGTATCTACAATTTCAATATCAGATTGATCATTGTGTATCTAAATCTATATCAAATTGGCTTAGAGGGATAAATGCATACTACATTCTACCATCACAGCATGTGTTCAATAAAAGAAAACGGTTTTGTCTTCAAATTCCATTCGTTCTCCTCTAAAACCAGTGTCAGTTCTTGGTTAAAGGAGTACAACCTGTGAGATGAGACATGTTTTACATCTCTCAGACGTGTGTTACAGTTTAGATGAAGGCATACATTGAGAAGCTAGCAAGGCTTCAAAGGAAGGGGCAGCTAGGTGTTACAGGCAGGCAGAGTGAGAAGAAACTGAACTTGCCAGCACTTTGATCATGTTCACCACTAAAGGCCAGGACCCTGTTAGAAAGAAAATAAATGGCCTTTTAGATAAGAGGTTTTATTCAAGTGTGGGTTTCTTCTTTTATGTAAGTGTAAATGTCTAAGTATTTATACAGTACTTACTCACCAGTATGTGTTTTTCATATTTAATCAAGGGTTCATGCAGAGCAGACAATACTTAAATGATGAACTTTAAAATAAATGTCACTTCAAAAATATACACGTATGAAGTTTGATAATACCCGCCTGCATGTTCTTTCTTTGTTTCTTTCCAAGAAGACAGAAATGGCATCTGGTTTAAAATTTCAACACAAATGTAAACAAGATATTAAAATGCAAATTGCTGATACCACAATTGATACTTTTTTCTCAACATCAGCGCTGAAATCTGTAAGTATGTTATTTGTAAAGGAAATGTGTGTTTATCAGGATAGAGCAGAAAGAAACAGCCATGGGGGGTAGATGACAGGTTTTTAGGGGGAGGAGGAGAAAGGGACAGGACAGGATGGGGGAGTTTAATGTAAGAGGATCGACAGCGGGTGAATAATTGTCATCTTTACAACTGAGACCGCAACAACAGGAAGAGGGCAAAAAGGGTGAGATAATGAGAGGAGACTTGGATTTTCAGCTGTGGTAAATTTTCAGTCACAGCAGCAAGGCAACACACTACTCATTTCATCCTTTTAAAATCCCCCACTGCCTCTTGTTTGCCTAACAAGTTTTTGTGTGAACGTATGTGTGTGTGTGTGTGAGAGAGAGAGAGAGTGTGAGAGTGATCGTTGGCTTTCTTTGCTTAATTTTGCAGTCTGTTCCTTCTTGTCTGCTCTCTTTCCTCCTTTTATCCTTATTTATTTGTCAGAGGTTGTGTTCAGGGACGTTCCTTGTCATTCGTCAGCGCGGCCCATAAAACACACTGTCATGACTGACTGGCCACGCTCCAAACTCATTACCGATTGGCTGACAGAGCGGGTCGCTCTGTTCTGCTCTGCTGTGTTTGACTCCTGTTTGCCAGACATTTAATGCTCAGGAAACTTTAAATGCGGTGGTGTCTTTCCTCGCACCACTCCTCTCAGCCGCTCGCTCAAGGTCACATGAATATGGATTTACCCTCTCCTTCCAGCGCACACATACTGATGATGAAGTCTAAGATCTACTCAGAGGGATTATAATTCAGAACGTAGGTCTGATCTGGGCCGTCGCTCTGTTCCACTGTCTGTCTGGGTGTGTGCTTTAAGTTGGTACCAGAGGGGAGGGCGGGAGGCTGAGGAGAGAGGAGAACGGCGGAAATAAGAAAGATGAAGCGGACTGCTTGCAGGAGCAGAGAGCTGAGATGAAGAGCGGAGGACGGAGAATGGATGATAATGGTGAAATCAGGGGAGGTGGAGCTGGAGCTGGGTGGGAGGGTGTCATGTAAGAGAAAAGGGAAAGAGACTGGGAGATTGGAAAAGGGCGACGTACAGCGTTATTGAGTTTCTGCTGCGGTTGATCAGCCGTATCCATTTCATCATATTGAGCTTGTTGCATGCCACAGTCTGCTGCAGAAAATGTGTCCTCATCAGTGTTTGTATACACAGTGTACGCTTCTATGGTGTGTGTTTGTGTGTATCATTGAGACTAACTGTGAACACCAAGCTCATGTATATCTGTGTACCTTTCTTTTGTTTTGCATGTGCATATGCTTACTAAAGTGCATCTCATTACTGCCTGGCGATTGATGTTATTCACTCATTTTGTATTTGCTGCAGAGTGACTGACGCTACATTATGTGTTCACTTGCTGGCCTTTGTTGAACCTTTCTCCTTTTCTCTTTGTTGCTAATTTTAATTTTAATTTTAATTTAATCTTCAATCTGAATAATCCCTTGCTTCCATTCGTTTAACAAGTCAGATGGGCATCTATTTCTTTTCTCTGTCCTCCCTCATCGTCACAGTTGTGCTCACAGTTTTGTTTCTCTGTTTTCCACTAACAGAAAACAACAAGGCACCTTTACAAAGGTCTCGCTCTCGGCAGAATATAAATGCCGGTTCAGCGGTGGTGAAAGCTCCCCCTGCCAAGGAGGCCCATAATGAGTCTGAGGGCCATCCATCTGCAGCCCGGTCCAAGGCTGCTGCATGTACGGAGTCAGGCCGCAGATACAGGAACCCCCCGGGTCACAGCTACTGGCTGGACAGAGAGAGGGTGGTGGAGAGAGAGATGGTTAAACCGACTGAGAAAGAGATGGAGGTTGAAGCAGAGCCGCCAGCCTTCCAGCCGACCTCCACGGGTGCTGCGGTCAGCAGCTGTAGCACCAATGGGGAATCAGATGTAGAGGCTCTGCTGGCCAAACTCAGGGCCTTGTGAGGTTCATTTTTATATACATATACAGCCTGACGTATGTTTGTGCCCACACATGTTGATGTTCTTCAACTGATCTTGTAAACAAGCAGAAACTGAAGTTGAGATAAAGTTGCAAAAGATTTGTCAAGTATAAAAGTTTAATAAGGAAACAAAAACATTAATGAAGCCTTGTAAAAAAAAAAATATATATATATGTATTAAAAAATTTGTATGCTTTTAACACTTTTCTAAAAGAAACGTCTTACAGGTAGAGCACTTTGGCTCACAGAATGTCCTCAGAACTTACTTCATAAAATAGAGACGGATTTACAACAGTAGTGATTCAATGAAAACATACATTATAGTTTACATATAGAGAGAAAACATACAGCCTGATCCTGTACTACTAAACGCGTTTGGCTATCCCTAAAAATGGGAATACATCATAGCTCTTTCTCTGAAAGTAAAAGATACAATGTTGCATAGCACTTTCCTTGTAATGCAGAAAACAATATCCATTCCCTTTATATTGGCATGCATCACTTATAAGTTCTTCTACTGTAACATTTATTTTACACCTTTATCATATAATTATCTTTATTTTAGTTTTTAATTACACATTAGTTATTTTCATATGCATGTTAATGGTCTTGTACAAGTAAGAGACATTTGGTATTTAATTACTTTCTTTTTTCTTCTTTCTCATTCCTTGTGAGATGACGGAGTGTCTTTTTATATTCAAAGCATCAATCTAATATTTGTATTTTCTATAAAGATGTCTGCATTCTATAAAACTATAAATATATATGCAAAAAATGTCCAATACATATGAGTTATGACATATGATTGCTTTCACAGGTTAGACCAGTAATTAGATGTAATTTGACAAGTTGATTTTGGTTGACCTAAACTGTTTTGTCTGTTTGTCTTAGTGAGAAGATTCATACACAGTGAGAATGAGTTTGCTGCAGTGTCTGAGTATTCTAAATATCCACAATGTGGCACAAGACAAACAAGTTCACCGCTGATTATCTTCTCCTACATTCCTACTGAAATCACTCAGATCTTAAAGCATAGTGGTTGTATTCTTTATTATAACTTCACTTTTATAGACCTATTTACAATAAAATATATCCAAAAAAGTTTTGTTGTCTTTTTTTTATATATATATATAAATCACTGAAGTTTCAAACATTTCTGAAATGAATACAATTAGTGTAAGTTAGTGAGCAGAGACACAGATCACTTCCTCGCCATCGCTATCCGAAAGTAATCGCCATTGATCAAGTACAGAGGAGACAAAGGCGGAATACTAGTTAGCAGCAATGCACATAGTTGTTACAGGACACATTGGTGGTAGAGACAACATGAGAGAACACAAATCCAAATGACTGATCAAGTGATGGTTTGGTTCTTTTACAATATTTACTTGCTGGAACCTTTTTTCAAAGTTACAGCATCTTCTTCTGCACTTTAATTTACTACAAACTTGGCTCCTCTAGAATGCAGTGCCTTGGATGAACAACATACAGTTTAAAGAAGATATAGTGTGCAGTGTCCTAGAAGTGACTTTGTTGTTACTCAGTGAATACTTTGCTACATAATGAGCTTAGTTTTCTTATAAATTATGAATTGATTTACTTATAAAACCCTTCATAATCATCTGTACATATAATAAAAATACAAATTAATCATGGTTTCTGTGCATCTGCACTGTTAAATTTTCTAAATAAAAGTCATATTTGACTTAAAGCTTGTGAAGAGCATGTGCAAACGTTTATCACTGACTCTTATTAATTAAACAAGACATTAAAAGTCACTGTGCTGAACATATGCCTCTTTTAGAGCATACATCACGTGTGTATTGCACAGTAGATAAAGTCCAAAAAGTCCCATGTAATCTGGACATAGAAAGAACTGAGAGTTAGTGGGAGAAAAAGAGATATCTGCCAACCAGTTAACCCATTATCTGACAAGGTCTGCTTGCTGTAGCCTGTCAGCTGGTGAATATCCTCCACACTGGCAGTGACACAACTGTCCCCATCTGGACCCCAGCCAGACTATACCTCTCTGGCGATGCACTCAGCAGTTTGGTAGAGCAGAGTAGATGTTGCTGCTCCTCATCCAGTCATTCAGCTTTAGTTGGCTGCAGTGGGCTTTTTTTTTTTTTTATTTCTTCATGTTCTCTACAAGGATGTAAGAGCAGTCACCTTCAGTACATCAGCTTCAGACAAGAGCTAATTAGTTCCATTTCTGTGCCACTGAAGTTCTTTTTTTCAGTTTCCTAAATGTTATTTTGATCTAGGAGATTATGGGTGTGCGGATGTTCTCCTTTCCCTAATACAGCATTTCTGAGGATGTGCCACAATGTTAATACAAGATAATTAATGTACTGTAAACATGCTCCTGATTTCAGGTTCTTAACAATGTCACTAAAAACATGTCGCCAAAGGACATTTTTAGATTAAAGGAATTCAGCCTTTAATCTGTTACAATTTTACAAAAATGTGCATCGTGTGTGTGAGTTTGCGCACCAGGTAAGAACACTCTAATTGTTAATATAATATGATTAGCTAGAGTACATTTTGTCCACATCAGGAGTAAGAACCTGGATCTGCATACATATTTGACAATACATTCTCTTTAATTGCCTGCATGCTTTCAAGATCTAAAAATTGATCACGTTTTGTTACAGCATCTGTGCGGGGCCGGCTCCTTTTGAAAGGAAAGCAGGAAAATGACCAGCTAAACTTCATAGACACAACAAATTGAGAGGAGAAGGAGAGCATAAGGAGGGTAGGATCTTGTTATGCTGAGGGAGCCTTCATTACTCACAGGCCTGTGTTACAGCCATGAGGTTTATCTATGGGCCTAATAAAGTGGAGCAAAACATATTGTGTAGCAGATTGCAATCTGGGCTTCTTTGATTGGAGATGAAGTTAAAAATGTGTCTGAGGATTTGTAGAGTAGGGGGAAAGTACAAAGCAGATCAACAGATTTGTCACCATTTCCTTTCCCCAAGAGTCAAAGAGTGAGCGCACTGCTGTATTTATAACTGCACATCATACTGTGGAATGTTATGGTGCAAAAATTTCTATTTTCAGCTTGTTTGGCAGAATCATTTTGTAATCTACTGCTGATGTTGTCAGTCACGGTTGTAGAGAGTGGTTAGGAAGGATGCGGCCATCCATCCCTGTCTCCTGCAAAATACGTTGAAACGCTATTAATTTGCCTTGCCAAATACGTTTTGGTGGAAACGTAATTGCTGCCTGGATTACGCCAACTGACAATCCAGAAAAGTATGATGTTCTTACACTGTGTTGACACAGGCTACGTAATGTAAGCAACGAGTCAGCAGCTCCCTGTCAGTGTCTACGCTGGAAGTGTTCAGCCACCGTACTGTGTGATCACACATGTTTTGGCAGCGCTCGTAGCACACATTCACTGTAGTGAGGTGTGTAAGACTGAAACAAATAGACTTGGAGCCTAAAAAGATGCTTTGGGTCATGGTTAAGCGAGTGAAGCATGAGCTGTCACATGGTCTGTGTAGGCTTCTTTATTGATTAAAATTAAAGGGCATTGTTCCATCTGACGTGCATCAGATGGACGACTAAAAAACTACAATGTGCTGTTTTACAGAGGTTATGTGCCGCGCTATTTTGTTGTTTGTCTGCACCTTTTAGAGAAATAGTCTAGTTTACCCTATTTTTCCACGTCTCCTCATTGTCTGTACATTTAGCTTCAAAAAGAAAAATCTTGTAATTGCTCCGTTTATCAGTAATCCTTGAGCTCCTCCCAAAACTTTTGCACTCAACTTCTAATACATTGCAACTGATATGTTTCTTTTTTTTCTACTCTGAACTATGAAGCTGCACCACAGAGCATCACTGTGCGGCAGAACTTGACTAATCATTGTGCAGCCAGAGCCGAGTCACCTTGTTGTTGGGCTCAGTGCCAGGAGGAGACTGTTATGGTGGTAAACCAATACCCTAATAGCGTCACCCAGGGACAAGTCGGGCTCTCATTGTTCTTTCCTGTTTATAGATCAAGCCAAACTGTTCTTGGAAATGTTCGTGTCTGTGCAAAGTGTTTATGCAGTGTTTGTGGTTCAACACTTACTTAAATCAACAATGGATTCTTACCACCTTCTTTATTATTCCTCCCTCATTGCCGTCTACCAGTCTGTGTGTTGCCCTCTGTTTTCTTTACTGGGGCAACCTCCATCTGTCACTGCAGGTGTGTTTTCATGCATCTTGTCTGTATTGCTTTGATCACCGTTGCATTACACCAGTGTAATTTTTTGCCCTCTTTCAATTCTTTGTCTTGGTCTCACAGAGATGTTTGTTGATGTTTTTTTTGTTGTTAAAAGCGTGAAAGAGAAAACTCATCCCTCGCCGCTTTTCAAACTAATAGCACATATTTTGGAAGATATTAAATGTCTCGCTATCTGTCGCAATGCACTGATTTATTCCGCCTTCAAACAGCTGAGTGGTATCCTGTGGTCTGAACTTTCTGCATGTTCATTCACTGTAGTCACAACAAATTAATAAGCTTTTGTTCGCTGCTGTTTTTGTCAGTGGCAGCTAATCTTTATTGGTTGTTTTTCTGATATTTTAATAAGTTTGGCTTGCACGAGTGCTTAAAAAAATTAAAAAATTCAAACAACCAGAATCACTAATACTGTAAAAATGTATCAAAATTTAAAAACTTTTCTGAGAAAACTATTATAATAGTTGCATGTTGAAAAAACACAGGAGGGTTACACTTAAAATGACAGATAAAGGTGAGAAATAAAATATTTAGAAAATTCTGTTCAACTAAAACAAGCTGAAGCTGCTTTTCCTTTATTTTAAGTGTCAAAAGTTCACAAAAAAATATTCAATTGTAGCCATACAAAAACTACATAATTATAGCTGACTTGCATGTCAATTTAAGCTTATTGTAATTCCCTATTTCCATTGAAGAGTGTGTGTGACAGTACAAGAGATGAACTGTGGTTTGTTTTTAGGTTTGTCTAATGTTGCTGCAGTACATAATAGATTCCCTAAGGGCTATGGCACTGAGCAGAGTGACAACTGTAAAAACACCCAGTACAGTTGTGCTTTGGCGGCAACAGAAGTGAGCACATCTGGCTTTGATCACCATGGTGATGGTGGTGCGGAGAGTGACAGGGCAAGCAGAGCGATGGAGGCAGATTCTCAGGGGGATCATTATCCTGTTTAGTAAGTCTAATGAGAGAAAAGGTGTTGCACCTCAGTTAACCGCTGTCCTTGTTTAAAACAGGCACAAGCATATGCAAGATGTAAGTAAAAACAGGCATAATGTGTCTCCAAGATGCAAATATACCCCCCGTTCTACAATTCTTACCAACATAGACACACATAATTACTGTGTTATTGCAGCCATCCAATAATAAAGACACTGTTAACACTGAAAACACAACTAAGTGGGGTGTTAAAATGTGCTCATTTGTTTCATTTAAAAATCACAACAATCACATAGTCGAATAATTTCTTAAAATTGGTCTACAAAGAGAATAGACAAAACTGTGAGGGCACTGGTGAAGACAAACTAACAGAATGGTGTTGATTAAAAGCAATGCAACCCACCTGAGTCAAACACTGGATTTATTCAAAAGAAAAAGAAAAATTACAACTGTGTTACATAGTAACCAAACGCTCAGGACATTTTTAAAAAGGACAAGTTGCAATTTTTCAATCATCTGTACATACATTGGTCCTAATGAACAATACAGAACAGGAGCCTATACATTTCTGTCTATTTGCTCAATAATGAGAGGTGGACGGTTCCAGATCATTGGCAGATATAAACCTAATGTCAAAGACATGTAGCAGAAAGATACTACTATCTTCCTCAACCCTTATGGTACAAACTGGATCCATTGACTGATGTGAAGATGACGGATTATTTTCTACGGTGAGCAGGAGATGCGGCTGTGTGGTGCATGACAAATGCGCCGCGACGAGTTGACTGACTGTTCGCCGCATCAGAATTTCACTTCATGCAAATTAAGTCCATCCAGCACAACACAGCAGGCTCACTCAGATTAAACTGTAAAACAC